CAAGATCAAATATCTCGACTGAAATCAAGTGGCCATCGCGCGTCTGCCATTCTATAAATATTCGCAAAAAATATTCCATGGAGAAATCACAATTGGATTGTACATTTTGGGTTTAAATGGGGATTACTAACATACGTATACGGATGACTATATTATTAATTGCGGTAAAGTATATTGGTAGATGATATTCATAAACAATTGACTTACTTCTGTTGACATGGGTAAAGGTGTAGCAGATCTAGTTTCATCACTCGAGGAGGGCACATTGACAAAGTCGGTATAAAAGTCAAACTGGGCCTTCGACTTTCAACTGCAGCAACATTTGCCGAAGATCTGGCAACGGATAGAAAAACTTCAGGGCATCGCTTGGATCGTGAATCTTTTACTAATGATTTCTGTGTTTCGGAAATTACATTCTTGAACGTGGTTCACAAGGACGGCACTCGATCGGCAGATCAAATAAGGAAAATCATCAACATGCGGCAGTCTCTCGCCACGAATCAACTCCGTGTTATTCAAAATTCTTTAATTTGTTTTGTTGAAGCGATTCTTACAATGTATCTGATCTTGTACACCATTATATAATCGACAACGAGAACTATTTTCAGTTGATCCAGGAGATCTTTTTGTTAAATTTCTTTGGCGTGCTTTTGCTAAGCCGATATAGTGACAGTGAAATATGAGATATTTGTAATCCTTGAGAGTAATATGATACTCTTTCGGCTGCAACACATGATTAATCTGTTGTTTTAACATTTCGTCAAGAAAATTTTTTTTATTATTGTCTCGTACAGTTAGAATTTTACTATTTTACAAATTCAGAAACAATTTCAATACGTACAAATCATTTCTACCACCCCTCCCTGAATAGCAATTTATTTTAGCACCCAAAACCTGGGAGCTACGTGACCAGCCGGCACCAGGGTCTTTCCGCAGCTTGGGGCGTGCGAAGGTAAGAGCCTGGAAACGAGGTTGAGTTAGTAGATGCTCCAAATACAGTAAAACTAAAAAATATAGCATAGCGAAATAATTTGCTATATTTTTAAGCTGTAGGTGTAGTCAGTAGCGAACTACCTTTTTTCAAAAGTAGCAGTAGTGTGCTGACCACATATTTTGGAAGTACAGTAGCTGTAGCTATAGTAAACTACAAAAATTTTGTACTCAACTCACCCTTGGTAATTGCTCAACAAAATAAATGGTTAAAATGTGTGGTGATACTGCAATTTTCAATCGACTTTGGAACTCCAAATATTTTGTCGAAAATGAATGTTTGAACGAAAAGTTTTATCAGCATGCAATGTATATTGTCAAGGCGGTGGCACTATGTTGTCAAGGCCATTTTTGAAAGTTGTCCAGACAATTTTCTAGCATACACAGGTTTGAGAATATACCGTAAACCTCCGACTATAAGCCCTGGGATTATATTCTTTCGTAAGCGATTTTTGATGGGTTTAAAGAGGGGGGCTTATATATGGGGGGCTTATACATGGATGATCTTTTGTGTTACTGTAATAGTGATAAATAAATATAGTAATAGTGATAAACAAGTGTTAAGCATTGTAATAATAATGATTAATAGTGGTAATAGTGATAAATAATAGTGATAAACAAGTGGACTTATATTCGGGTGGGCTTATATTTGGGAGGGAGGCTTATATTTGGAATGAGGTGAGCATTAGTACATGCGGTGGGCTCATACATGAGGGCTTATATTCGGGGGGCTTATAGTCGGAGGTTTACAGTAATGCACCATTCAAAGTGAACCCAGACCCACCCCACCCCGGGATATAGGTGGGGATTGGCTTTGAATAGCATACGAAAACAAACAAATGGCACACCATATGGAACAGAATTTTCTACCAAAAGACAAAAAATGCCCCACCAATGGGGGGAAATTGTAAGTTGTGTGAGCAAATTATGAATATATTTATAAAATACTTCTCCATTTCACTTCCTATATCTTTGTCACATATTATAAAATGGTAGAATCCAGGGCTCCCATTGGACAAAATGGCCAGTGACAATTCCCACTATCTTCCCTGTGTAAATCGGCAGAATGACAAAACCAACAAATTCCCAATATGGTTGGGACCGAATTCGATGACAAAATGCCCACTAAATCCCTTCATGGTCCGGGGTGGGGGAAGGAAGAGGGGTTTACTTGTGCCTGGTGCATAAATTTCAAGGAAATTATTTTGGAAATTTGTACAGTACCTGTTGATATAAAATACGCCATTTAATTTTTTTTTAAAAACTAGATCAATTGTTAATTCGCTCGTATACATACCTTTATTTGTTTATTTTCAAGATTAAAGTCAGGAAATACAATGGCGCAGTTGTTTACCACAGTTACCATTTCTAACCGAGACAACTCAGTTGCATATGCAAGTTCTGAAGTTACTTCGATATTTTGCGATGCAGGTGAATGGCCAGGTTCATAATCATTATGGGCTTCTGGTCTTTGATTTCCATTATCACAAAGCAGGGAATGAGAGAGCCCAGTGGACTGAGAGTGACACTCAATCTCAGGATTCTCAGTCAATGTTGAGCTATTTATATGAACACTTGACAGTGTTGAGGCTGTACATAACCGATTTTGCGAGCTAGCTGCTATAAACGACGTGCGAAACTCTGACTTTTGATATATCTTTATTAGGTACTTCTTCGAAAAGATATTTCCTCTTACCATTAATAACAACAGTTTTCCAAGGCTTCGCTTTATTCCTCCTTGAATTATCCGCCATCTTGGCTTACTTTATAATCACGCTTCTGTCATTACTATTCACAAACGAAGTGATTAATCCGAGTATTAATTTAAGCAATAGGTTTTCTGCCCTAAGTGTTGACGAAAACGACGTAAGCGATCGCAATGCCCGGGATACTGTAAGAAACGAAGTAGAACGTACATATGCAAACACCCACCGATCAACGCAGACACCCAATCGTAAGCAAAAAACCAATCACAAAGGAAAAATTCAACTCAACATCGCCATAATCAAACGAAACAACGAACTGACCACCGAAATCGTCCCAACGTAGTCATAGTGGGAGACTCCATGATCAAACACATAGAGCCGGCAAAGCTACGACAAGGGCTTAAGAGGGCCTCTCAGTAAAATCCACCCGCTGGTTTTGGGAAGGAAAAATAGATTTAGCTCATATTTTGCATATGAACTAGACTTCGGTCAATAGTAATCGGGCTTCTTTCAGAACGTTTCAACTTTCTGTTTTATAGGAGTTTTAGCCCATGTTGAAATTTGACCTTGCGAGAGTATTTTCAGACCGGAAACGAAGGGGAATTTTACAATAATTCATCTGATTTTTTAAAAACTTTGTGATGCGTTATCCCTTCCAGTTACTGTTCACATGAAAGATTAATACTAATACTCTCGTTTTCATGGAGATTGAACAACTTTATTTGCTTAATACGATTTTTTTTATAGTTTTACGAAACTACGTTTTCAAGATGGCGACGAGAGGCTGAAAATTGCTGATATTTTACTTAAAATAGCTCAAAAGTGGCACCTATCTGAAGTTTAAAAGGCATGTAATTTGAAAGTATACCTACTAAAGTTAAGTAATCAGGAATAAAACTCGTCTGCAAGCAATTTTCTGAAAAGTTATAAATCTCCAAATTGGGTCTATTTTTAGCTGTTTGTTTACATTCGCGTGTTCGCTGTGATCAGCGACACTAATAATTATAAAGAGTTAAAAATTTAAAATAAGCTGATTTATTATCCAGTAAACTTTCTTAGCTTGTTCACATGATTATATACAAATATAATTGATTATATGAAAATATAATTACAATATATGCAAGCGATCGTGTACAGAGCATTGACGAATACGAATTGCTTTACATTTACATTTACATTTACATTTACCTTAATGCACTAATTACACTTACACATACAGTAGTACAGTTACAGCGATTCTGCTGGTGTCTACGACCCTGATATCTTCTAAAGTTATTAAATATATATTGGTTTATAATAACTGATTATTACCTTCATCTGCTGCTCCCACGGCGGGAGGTGCATGTCGGAACGACCAATGTGAGTAGAAAACTTAATACATAAGTGTCTCTGTGCGATCTTTAGGTCATGAAATAGTGCTACAGCAATGTGTTTTAGGGACCGGTCATTATTTATGCAAGTGGGGCACCGAAGAGAAAAAGGTTGGGTAAACAAAATTTTGAGTAAGTAAAAGGTTGGGTAAATGAAAAAGAAAACAACTCAAAGGTTGGGTAATAAAAATTGTCATTTCCAAAGTATGACTAACTGAAATATTGGTATATACATGACTATTAAACAACAGTCAGATGTCAATATAATATGTGAATCAATCAGAGTCACTATCTTGATAATTTTCCGACATGTTGAGAGACAGATTGTGTCTCCAAAGAAAGTACATGTGCAGACAACATGAAACTTTAGACTGCAGAAAATTGCACAAGCAGTTATCAAACTCATGTCACAGAAGTGGTAAAGGACATGCGTGACAACTGAATGGTACCTATTTGTAAAATTTTTGCCAGGGATGGGTATTTATTTTTTAATCAATATTTGAGTTTAGGTAATCATTTTTTTTGCTTTTTAATGGCTGGGGCAGCACAATTTTTGCCACAAAAAATTTCACTTCGGTGCCGCCCCCACCATAAATAATGACCGGTCCCTCAATGCACTTTGCAGCAACTCCCCATATTTTGATCTCGCTCAATTTAATACATAATTCTAATGTTAGTTACTTTTGTTCTATTCTATACTTCTGTAAACAGGAACAATAGTAACTAGGCATGTGAGTTATCCAAAGCTGTGAATTGGGTAGCAACAATGTAAACAACGTTAGCCAGGTTTGTCTATTTGCTTCATTTTTTATAGAGTCTATTTACTGATCTCATATTGACAGGATAGATCCAAGTGAAAATGAAACTGATCTAGTAACAAATTGGATAGACCCTATCAATAATGAAGCCAATTCGAGTGAGGCTTGGAGCAAGCCTAATGGAAGGAGTGAAGAATCTTAATCCAATTATTGCGTACACGAACACTGTTCAATAAAGGAAGAAATAACTGTTATAAGATCCGCTTTCTTGTCTTTAGATGTAAATTTAAGTTCAAAGTACTTGCATTTGTCTTTCAGCATGGTCACTTTGAAAACTGCCAATTTTCCTTCAGAATGGAGTTCACACAAGTCATAGGACTCAAAAATGACCGGGTGTTTAGTGTGTAGTTTGCTAAAAATTTCCTCGATCAACTCCTCTCTTGATTCCTTTTCTTCTTCGTCGTCGTCATCATCATCTCGTTCGCAATCGAACACCTCAACCACGTCAGACACAACAATCCCCTTTCTTCTTAATTTAGCAAGTCTTGAAAAAAATCCCTTAATCTGGGTTTTGGTCAGCCATTCATTTCTTGAAAACATTCGATTTCCTGACTCGGTTCTTGTTATTCTCATCTCGCGCGCCACCTCGGATGGATCAGCTTTGTTTCCTGTAAGTTCGCCCAGTTCAAACTTCTTGATAAGATAGTGGCGCACCTTTTGTGGAAACCTTGCAGATCCCACGCGCGTCTTGCTCAAGGCCCAACCCATTGGTAACTGTGTTTGATCTTGTGTAGACGGCATGTCTGACTGAGTTGGGACACTAGACTGACTGGCGCTGGTGGAGATAGTTGTGTACTTACTTGCCCATTCCCGTCTTAAAGTATCGTATATGGTTTCATTTTCTACAAACCTGCTGTGCGCACCCACATCCATATGATGCTCAAGGTCTCGAATAGAGGTAAAAGTGTAATTACAGTTCGGTTCTGGACAAAAGTATAAACCATCTTCTTCCTCTGGTGTTTTGACCTCACAGGTTGATTTAGACTTTCGCAGCTCCCTTATTTCAGTGAAGCTTTTGTCAGTGTGTAGCTGTGTTGCACTCTGCCGTTTTTTGAAAATTTCTTTGTCAAAAAACTTCTTCCCTTTCCCAATCCCATAAGCTTTCCGGGCAGTAATACCATCCTGGTCGTATTTGAAATTGTGAAACGAACTGAAATTTGATAGTTTGCGAACTTCAAGTTGTGTGACAGAATCATTAATTCGAGAAACTGAACAAGTTGTGCCTCTAACGGGATATTTATCCAAAGCCGCATACATGTCTTCAGCCCTGAGAATGTCATTGCCTTCGTTGCAATACTTACGAATTGAGGATTTCAGAGGACAAATGATTCTATCGCAGATATCCTTGCCTTGTTGTGGTTCTGAAAAATCATACTGTTTAACAGAAACACCGACGCGGTCGCCCACATCCTTTAAAGCAGCTATAAGGAGATTGTTATGATAACATCCTGCTTCGTCTGAGCGCAAGTAAACATGTTGAATACGAGGATTGTCCGCTTTGATGTTAGAAAATAGATCTTCCACAATTGATAAAACTGAAAACCAATCTTGAGAACATGAGTTGATCAAGTGGACATATGAAGTCACAGAATTGTCTTCTTTTCAGTGTCTTTCGAGACTGTGCTACTTACATGCCAACTAATGCCTCGCTTTCCATACCACTCGGACTGTTTCTCTCGAAATTTAACCTGGGTGAATTTCATAGCCCAATCCATTACTAGCAACGCCGATGACTCATCAAGGATTTCTATGACATCATGCTTTGCCTTTTCCTGATTTACAGATCGAAGAATGTGTGCCTTCCATTTAAAGATATTTGTTTTAGCCTCGTTGAGATCGCGTAAAAGATCTCCCCGTTCCTCCTCTGACAGTTGATTTCCAGTGTTCTGAAGAACATTCTCTATCTCCCGAAGAACTGCCTTCAGATCCTCACAGCTGCTGCATGAAGAGGGATGCTGGTGATCACATAATGCTTGAAAATCAGTATCTGTCGGATCACTCAAAGCATATAATTTGCAGTGATCAGCAACCAGGCTATGACCAACACCACAGTTCACTTTGTAGTTTGTTTTCAAATATTGTTTAGCCGCATCAAGTCGCTTGTTTACTGCAATTGACCAGGTTTTACCAGCGCCAGCATGCGCAAGATGTTCTGTAATTGTTCGTAGAGTCTGAAAAGAACTCGATCCTTCGGCAGCAGTGTTATCTAAACCCTGCAACGACTTTCTCTGAGAGGCTTCCCTGACTTCCAAAATGCGATACAGTGTTGCTGTACTGAGCGGTTCAAGACAACCCTCATCTCGACAATACTGTAGATATTGAGGTATCATTGTTGATCTGGTCTTAATGATCAACTTTGATCTGACAAAATGATCAACTTTCTTCATGTCTAAGCTTATTCTATGACGGACTGGCTTAGTCACATTATGTCCGGGACCGACTATTTTTGCATGAGCACGAGCTCTCCGTATCTGCCACTGGGTCAGTCTTGCATAAGGCTCGTGCAGTTCTTGTAAAGTTTTAACCGGATACTCATAGGCATATAAACTAAGTATTTGTGTTTTTAAACTTCTTGTAGGTGCTTTAGCAAATGCTTTCATTAAAATTACTAGTTCATTTGATGCAGTCGGTTTTTGTTCGTATAAAGATTGAAAAAGTCTTTCTCCATCGTTAGGAGCGATAACTTTGCATAATAAACTACAAGCTTCCGATGCCTTTTCCTGACATTCCGTCTTCTCTTTGATTGAAGCAGAGTCCCAGTCCTTCAGCTGGTAGGTTAGTATCGATGGTCTATGCTCACAAGCTGCCTCGGATAAAGATTCCATTGTCTTGTTGTATGCTGTTATCAGGTCGGACGACCTGTCATCTTCATCCTCTGAACTGCTATAACCAGTATAACAGCCGGGTGTCCAGAACGACATGGAGCTTTTTGTTTCCAGTGGCGAAGAATTGGTTGTGGTAAAACTTTCCTCAGGTGAATCATCTGTGAACCTGCGGGTATACATAACCATACTACTCAATGATAATTGCACGATAATTGCAAATCAAGGCATTGATATGAGACATTAAATTAAATAATATAAAGGCTAATTGCTCACTTTGCTGCTGTATCAACGGAGCATGAGTCTTGTTGTTTTTCTTCAGCTTCCTTTGTACGTCTTGTGCGCTCGTGTACTAGCTCCGCGGGTTTCACCCATTTTGCTTCGTTGTCCATCTTATCTTTGTGAAACTTGATGCACTGTGTACATATTGCTAGCAGATTGAAAATGTCAAATATCATTACAATATACTATATAAAATCATGTTATTGAGCAGGCAACTGCTGGGATAGAAATATGAGAATATTGTATTTGTACTGCACATAAGCCTTAAGCTTGATTCGCCTGCCAGGTTGTTAGAGGGTCTGAATGGGGTTAACTGACTACTGCCATTTGCCTGAATTTTTGACTGACAACTGACAAAATATCCTAACTGACAACTGAGAAATGATGAAAAAATGACGAGTCAGCCTTTTTGCAGTAACTACTAACAGCTTGCAATATATCGCACTGACAACTGACAACTGGCTTAAATTTTAGCTGACAACTGACACCCAAAGACTCCCATTAAGACCCTCTTGTTAGGACCTCATTACACGTATATAAACAGGTTTTTATTATCTCTCATTACACGTATGTAAGTGTTAATAAAAAATCTGCTGTACCTGCTTAACATTAAGTATTGGTTACCAATCACTCACCTAACCGTAACCTCATAACCCCCTAACCTTTGGCAAGCCCCCTAACTTTTTGCAACCTCCTAGCTAATCTTTGGCGACCCCCCCCCCATCCCCCTCCAAACACTAACCTTTGGCGACCCCGTAACTATTGGCAACCCCCCCTAACCTTTGGCGACCACATCCAAACACTAGCCTTTGGGGACCCCCCCCCAAACACTGACTTTTGGCGACCCCCCCCCCCACTTCCCAGAAGCATCCATTGCACGAGTTCCCCCATGCAATAAATCATAGGAAAATAAACAGGCATTAGCGCGCATGACAGTGGCGTTCATTTGCTGATTTTCACGAATATAGTTTGTTCACATGCTAATGAGTCTGCAAGTGCCGGTGGGTATGCGATACAGGGATTTTAATCGAACAGTTCGTCATTTATCACTAACAAAAGGCAGACTCTTACTAGAAGGTACTTACGGGATCCAATTTGGACTAATGACCCGTATAGCTTTAAGCACTCTTCAGAAAACTTCATATTGATCACGTCTCGTCCGTGGCATTTTCGAACAGGACCGTTGTGTAGTGGATATTGGCAAGAACGAAGAGGTCTGAAGAACCTTCCCAGTTTATCCCTGTGTTGAGGACAAACGTGCATGTTTGTCAGCTGTTCCTGGGTAGGATGAAAGTGCCCTGCCCTGGCAAGTATAAGTTCACTCTCGTTGATGGTATTAAGCCTCGTGAGGTGACAACTTCTGAGGTGATTACAAATATCTTCATTACACTCGCCAATTTGGACAACTTTCTGTATTCCCCGGCTTTCTCCACATGCAAAATTTCCCAGGCCAGCAAAAGAACAGTTCTTTTCCATGACTCAAGCATGCACAAAGTAAAAATAGGAGCTGCTATCAAAAATAACTGCCAAGCTGGTGTTGCAGTTCTACTTGTGAAAATTACAGTCAAAGTACTAGAACTTTCCCACTCAAATTACAGTAGAACAGTCAAAATACTAGAGCTTTCCACTTCCGCTTTTTTGGTTTGTACTGAGAGCTTTGAAATTAATTGCCACAACCACAGAAAGTACCGCCCGTTTATACTTTAAAAAGATATTTAACAGGTGTGAAATTATTCATTCGAATACGTAAGAATGGTTAAAGTTGTATTTTGAATGTTTCTATGTTGTGAATTAGAACCTGGATAATAAACCAGCTTATTTAACTTTTTAATTATTACTATTGTGTCGCTGATCACAGCGAACACGCGAATGTAAACAAACAGCTAAAAATAGACCCAATTTCGAGATTTATAACTTTTCAGAAAATTGCTTGCAGACGAGTTTTATTCCTGATTACTTAACTTTAGTAGGTATACTTTCCAATTACATGCCTTTTGAACTTCAGATAGGTAGCAATTTCGTCAAACTCAGGGGAGTTACTGCAAAGTGCATTAAAACACATTGCCTGAAGCACTATTTCATGACCTAAACATCGCACAGAGACACTTATGTAAGTTTTCTACTCACATTGGTCGTTCGGCAGACATGCACCTCCCGCCGTAGGAGCGGCAGATCAAGGTAATAATCAGTTATTAAATTACCAATATATATTTAATAACTTTAGAAGATATCAGGGTCGTAGACACCAGTAGAATCGCTGTAACTGTACTACAGTATGCGTAAGTGTAATTAGTGCAAGTGTAAGTTAAGTGTAGATGGATAAAAGCAATTCGAATTCGGCAATGTTATGTACACGATTGCTTGCATATACTGTAATTATATTTTCACAAAATTGTATTTAATCCTGTGAACAAGCTAAGAAAGTTTACTGGATAATAAATCAGCTTATTTTAAATTCTTAACTCTTTATAATTATTAGTGTCGCTGATCACAGCGAACACGCGAATGTAAACAAACAGCTAAAAATAGACCCAATTTGGAGATTTATAACTTTTCAGAAAATTGTTTGCAGACGAGTTTTATTCCTGATTACTTAACTTTAGTAGGTATACTTTCAAATTACATGCCTTTTAAACTTCAGATAGGTGCCACTTTTGAGCTATTTTAAGTAAAATATGAGCAATTTTCAGCCTCTCGTCGCCATCTTGAAAACGTAGTTTCGTAAAACTATAAAAAAAATCGTATTAAGCAAATAAAGTTGTTCAATCTCCATGAAAACGAGAGTATTAGTATTAACCTTTCATGTGAACAGTAACTGGAAGGGATAACGCATCACAAAGTTTTTAAAAAATCAGATGAATTATTGTAAAATTCCCCTTCGTTTCCGGTCTGAAAATACTCTCGCAAGGTCAAATTTCAACATGGGCTAAAACTCCTATAAAACAGAAAGTTGAAACGTTCTGAAAGAAGCCCGATTACTATTGACCGAAGTCTAGTTCATATGCAAAATATGAGCTAAATCTATTTTTCCTTCCCAAAACCAGTGGGTGGATTTTACTGAGAGGCCCTCTTAAGAGTTGAGTAATATTCAGAACTTTTGCGGGAGCTAAAATAGAAGATATGAAGTACTTACCTACAACTTACATTAAAAGCTAAGCCTAGCCATCTTATTCTTCATGTGGGAACTAACGACCTCTCTGGGAAATCGCCTGAAGAGATTGCTCAAAATATTTCAGAATTGGGGAAAGCCGCGACTGAGCAAGCCCCTGGTCTCAAGCTCAGTATATCAGAAATTATAACGAGATCCGACTGTGAAGACAATGATCAGAAGGTACAACAAGTAAATTCATTAGTCGAATCGACATGTTATTTACAATCATGGGAATTTGTTAAACACTCGAATATTAATAAGAGTCACTTAAATCAAGGAGGGTTGAACCTAAATAGGAGAGGTACTGCTGTACTTGCCCAAAACTTTAAACACTGTATCAGGACCTCTGAAACAAATTGACTGATTCAGAACCCTACCCCAAACTCAGATACAACGTTAAATTCGCCTCATATACAATCAAACTCCGAATATGATTTTGGTTTGTTTGATAATCTACTTCCTAATGAGCGTGGCTTCAAAATTGCTAATCTTAATATTAATAGCCTTTTAAAACATATAGACGAATTACGAGTATGCATGACTAAACAACAACTAGATATTTTAGCAATCAATGAAACTAAAATAGATTCTGATGTACCACTAGATTTAATTTCCCTGGAGGGCTATACCTGGGTTTTTATGAATAGGAATAGATCTGGTGGGGGTGTTGTTTTCTACATACGAAATACAATTAACTTTTTGATAAGACCTGACTTGGGTCATCATAATATTGAAGCTCTTACGATAGAAATTCATAAATATAAAAACCAAACCTTTTCTAGTTTCAACATGGTACAGAACACCTAATTCACCCATTGACTTGCTAACAAAATGCGAAAACATTCTACGGCTTATTGATACGGAAGAGAAAGAGAGCATTATCCTGAGTGACACAAATTGTGATCTATTACACAAAAATCTAGATCATATGATGAAAGAACTCAATTTCATTACTAATTTATATCAATACAAACAATTGATAGACGAACCTACAAGGGAAACTAAGAATTCGGTATCTTTAATTAACCATTTCTATACCAATAAAAAGGAAAATATTATATTAGCAGGAGTCTCCAAAATAACGATTAGTGACCATTATTTAATATATGGCATTTTGTCATTCCCAACGTTAATTGGAGTTCCGTGATTTCAAAAATTTCAATGAAGATAATTTCCTACGCGATATAGCATTGTCCGAAAACCATAATTTGGATTCATACACGGATTCCAACCGAATGTGGTATATTTGGAAAAATAAATTTACTGAAATTGTTGATAACATGCACCACTTAAAACCCGTAAAGTTGGTAAGAAGCGTACCCCTTGGATTACGAAACAAGTACTTCATAGTAAGCGAAATAAGAACTTATTAAAGAAAAAGGCCTTGAAATTTAAAAATGAAAATGATTGGCAAATCTTAAAATCAGCTAGAAATTCTTATAATAAATTTATTAAATCGTCCATTCGCCATCATTATAGTGTTGAGATTAGGGATAATCAAGGAAATACTAAGAACATGTGGAAAACTATTAAATAAATAACTTGATTCACAAATAAAAAAAATCTCAAAATATAACTGAGATCCGTAACGAGAATAGTGAAATGGTTGATATTCCAGGCATACCTAATGCATTTAATAATCATTTCACTGATCTTGGTTTCATTCTTTCCCAAAACATCTCAAGTTGCTCTATTCCACCATAGAGTTATATCAGTGAATCAATGCAGGAATTTATTTTCTGCGAAATAACTGAACAGGAAGTTTGCCAGTTATTATCATCATCATTATCATCTACTAAGGCATCGGGCCTAGATGGATTACCAGCAAAACTTATTAAACTGGCCTCACCTTACATTGCTAAATCGCTGACAACAATATTTAATAGGTCTATATCCACCGGCATATTTCCATGTGAGTGGAAAAATGCAAGAGTCACCCCAATTTACAAAAGTGGCCTTAATTTTAATATGAATAATTATCGACACATACAGTATCTTTATTTCGGTAATTTCCAAAACAATGGAGAAACTCGTACATAACCAGGTCTATTCCTATTTACAACGGGCAAATATACTAACTAATGCATAACATGGCTTTAGACCTCTCCACTCCACTGTTACTGCATTGCTAAAAATGACAAACCATTGGTATCAAAATACGGATGAAGGGTTAATCAATGGAGTTGTCTTTTTAGATCTAAAAAAGGCATTTGATACCGTTGACCATGGTATTTTATTAAAAAAATTATATTTATAAGAGGAAGGGCGCATGACTGGTTTAGGTCGTATCTGTCTAATCGTACCCAGCATTGTCAAGTTAATGGCAAACTGTCTGAACCACGAACAGTAATTAGTGGTATTCCGCAGGGCTCAATTCTTGCACCCTTACTCTTTCTTGTTTACATAAATGACATGCCAAATTGCTTAAAAAGTGCGGATTGTGACATGTTTGCTGATGATACTCAATTAGGAACGGCAACTAAGGATGTCAGAGTAATGTATGAAACGTTAAATGATGACCTAACAAATATTTCAGTTTGGATGGCGGCCAACAAGCTGAGCCTGAACAAAAGCAAAACTGAATATATGTTTATTGGATCACATCAAAAACTTAAACAGTGTAACTCCGAATTGCAAATAAAAATTGGAGATACGCCTATTCAACGAGTAACTGTTACTAAATCACTGGGTATGATGGTAGATGAGACCTTAACCTGGCATTCTCAAACAGATCTAATTACAAAGAAAGTGAACAAGGGTCTTTACGTCCTTAGACGATTAAGAGATTTTGTTGATGTAAGGACTCTAGTAACAGTTTACAAAACCTTAATTAACCACACTTTGATTACTGCTCGCAAGTATGGGGTTGTCTTGGAATTACCCTTCAAAACCAATTGCAACGTTTACAAAATAGAGCAGCACGTATCATTGCAAAGCGTGGGTACGAATTTAGATCAGCCAATATACTTAAAGAATTAGATTTACCTAATTTAAGTCTCAGAAGAAATAATCAATTGTGTACTACTATGTATCACGTAAATAATAACATGGTGCCCGATTACCTAATTGATTTATTCACGAAAACCAGTACACTTCATAATCATCAAACTAGGCAGGCTGAATTTAACTTTGCACTCCCGAGGCCAAGTACCAACTTTTGTAAAAAATCATTCTCGTACAGAGAAGCTGTAGCTTGGAATGATTTATTACCTAATATAAAAAATATGGGTTCATTGTCAACCTCCAAAAGGGCTCTAGTGTCAAGTAGTGGTAATAATTCTTGATAATCAATTTATCTTTTTTTCTTTTTCTCTTCGATTTTATTAATTGTATTAACTTAATAAAATATTTTTATAATTGCATGTAATTATTCATACATATATAGCATGGCCTATTGGAAGATCACATCTTGTAAATATTTTAGTTTTTGTCTTTGTGAAATAGTACCGTGGGTAAATAAAGTTTGATTATTCTGACCGGGTTAGGGTAAAAGGCTGATACGGACGAACGGACGGACGGATGACCTATTTTTCTCTAAAATATGTTTTAAACATCATATCCGCGTTTTACCCAATCGGGTAAAACGCGGATATTGTGTAAAATATGCTTTTCGGCTCTTTAAAAGGCATATCCGCGTTTTACCCGATCGGGTAAAACGCGGATATGGTGTAAAATATACTTTTCGGCTCTTTCAAAGGCATATACGCTTTTTACCAACCCTGGGTGCCAGAGGTTCTTCCACGCTCGTAAGAGGAATAAGGAGGGATACACGAGGATTCAAGCTGGGCGACACTTCTATGGCTTTTACTGTTTTAACTGTCACATGTCAATCAAACGTTAGCCAATAGGACACGTACTTATTTTTGACTGATGATGATTTGGGCGTGTTCAACCGAACATTTGAGCGATGGAAATTGCGACAGAATGTGTCAATTTCATAACAAAAAATTAAAATTAGCGAGTCGTTTATATAGTAAAATAAACCGAATAATATATGGCCACATGGCATTAGACCGTACACCTATTACAGTAAAACTGTTAACAAAAAAGCGGAGACGAGTATTGTCGAGTTTGTGTTGAATTTGTTATTCATAGTGGATATTTTAGTATATACGTAAAAGGCCGTAAGTAGTATTCCCCCCCCCCGTATAGCGGCGGAAGTCCCGTATAGCGGCGGAAGTAATTAGTATGCAGGAGCGAATAGAGCGCCAGAAGTAATTAGTATGCAGGAGCGGCGGAAGCAATGACGTCATGGAAACCCGAAAGTAAGGAAATGTTCAGAATGGCGTACAACGATGAATATTTGAAAACAATTTATTAGGTTTTATAGTAGTTTACAGTAGAGATTTTGATAATTATGTTTTTAGAGTTTGCGCCAGATGCATCCACAGAAGGTTAATTCACCACATTCTAGCGAAAATTCGAATGTCAGCTTGGCCAGTATTTCCTTTAGTATTTCCGTACAGTTTTTATGGATCGTTGTTTGACAGCATCGGGTTTTGTTCAGTTCTTGTCCGTTGCTTTTGTTCTGTAGGCACAGATAATAGAGTTCCTTGCCCGGGAATGGTGCTCTGCAGTACGCGCACCGTACGGTTTCGATGTCTGTTCCGTTGTAATGTACCGCCCACATCTGGAGGCATCGACAATGAGCTTTTTGTTGACAGCATTGCATCGTCATCGCAAGTAGTTCGTTTCCATCAATCTGTTCAAAACAGAAATAGCACTGTCCCGGTTCTGTGGTATTTTCCGCCAGGATTCCGAATAGAGGTATATTTGCTGGTGGTATAACATCTTCAGGCGCTGGTAAACTCCTATGCATTCCATTTCGATGTGTGGTTGATGATTATGGGGAAGTGTATTTATACTAGAGGTGTACGTACACGTACAGGGTGTACGTACACGGTGTACGTACACCCCGTACATATCTATGTATGTACATGGTGTACGTACACGGTGTACGTACACGGTGTACGTACACCCTTAAACTACGTCATGATCATACTCGTCTCTGATTGGTTAGCCGTGTTGGATGGAGAATATAAATAGAGGAGACGAGCGATTTTTGTTTATGTGTTCATAGCTTTTGTGAAGAGATGAGGTGCTTACACGGTGAACCCGCTGCTCATTCGACAACTCAAAATGGTTCATTTTGGTTTTGCAATCAGAATCCTAGCTGCAATTTCTTTTGTTGCGAAGATGAGGGTTATTTGTATGAAAAAGCCATAACTGCATGGAGAGCTACGAAACAGCCTCATCCTCGATGTGGTGGACATAGTAAACTTGCGAAAATGCGGGTCGTTAGAGATTTGATGAAAGCAAGTTATGGAAGACCGTTTTTCGTATGTTCTAACAAGCTGAAGCCGTGTTCATTCTGGGTATGGGGCGATGTACGACCTTTAGTCAAACCAGAGTGTCACCATGGATTACCGTGTATGATTCGTAAAGTGAAAAAGGAAGGTCTCAATAAAGATCGAAAGTTCTTCTGCTGTTCAAATGACAAGGAATCTTCATGCAAGTACTTTGATTGGGTGCCTGAGGAGCCTCGTCAAGATGTCAGTTTTGTGGAACCCCTTTCAAGTAAACCAACCGAAAAGCACGAGGAACATTACCTGGCGAACAAATTCATAAACGATTTTGCTAATAGTTTGAACATTTAATATGTGTTATTTTTCAAAAACTGTTATAAAGAATAGTGTTAATAAAAATGTTGATATTCAAAATTGTCTAAAAGTCATTAAAAAAGTCAAAATTCATACTATCTATAAAGTCCAAACTGTTTGGATCATTTAGGAAGTCCAGGTTCGCATCGCTTGCTAGTGACAGTCCCAACGGTTGCTGTGGGGTTTCTTGTTCTCTGGTTTCTTGTGTCTCCTGGTTTTGGTTTTGATTGCCTTCATAGAAGGCAAGAAATTCGTTGAGAAAGGTCTGCTTTTTTTGTTCGGCGTACGCCCAGAAAGCCTCCAACCTTTTTATTTTTGTTTTTTTATCAAGTCTTATTTTTCTTTGTCGTTCTGCTTCTTTTTTCTTGTCTTTTCCCATAGCTTTTTGATTTTTGTTTTTTTGTCGACTTGTTGTTGTTTGTGGGATTCCCGCCGTTTTGTGTTTCCACATGCTTGTTTGCTGCTTCCGGTTTTGGAAAATGAGCGTTACGCAATTATTAATAATAGTTACCAATGAACATTGCGCAATATTTATTTGTGTTTAGCACGCTTAATATGATTAATTTCGACCTCTATCTTCCTACGCTTTCTGCATATTTTTCAGATTATTCCTGTGGCTACAGGAAATTAACAATACATTATAATGCATAGTATTGTGATTTTAAATAACCAATATTACGCATGTTTGAAAGGAAGGATTATTATAGTTCAATATATATAGCTATGACCGCTGTCTTCTCACACTTTATGCATAGCTTTCAAAGTGTTTATATAATTACGGAGGAAATAACCGGTTCATTAGCGTACGTAGTTTAGACCAGTATTTATTCGTATACATGAAAGGATATATTTCACTCGGAATTTAGACAGATCTACGAAATGCTTTCTGTTGTGTTTTGCATTTTACTTTTTGTGCATGGAAGCACCCCATTTTGTCTTGAACAGCGTTTTATAAGTTTTTTGGACTGTAGCGGCTTAGCGCTGGAAACCATCCAGGGGCTGTGGAGAACAGAAGAAGAATGGGTTGTGGCGATTGACCTTAAGCGTAACCGCCTTGTTAGTTTAAATATAACAGAGCTTTTGTTATATTTTCCGAACTTGCAACATATTGACGTGCGGGACAACCTCGCACTTGACTGTCGAACCGTTTGGGTTCTGGGGATAGACGTCAGGAGTGATTGTAAGTTTATTTCATTTATGTTAGCATTTGCGCAAGTTGGCATTTGCTGCAACTTATAGTTATACAGTTCGACTTTCTCTTCAACTAGGTATGCCAGATATGGTATCGAATTCGAATGTTACGTTTGGGTCTACAGCCATTTCTGCATCCCCCCCAGGACCACGGACCCCACCGTACCTGGGTTATAATCCGAATCACAACCCCCACGGGGTCCTTAACTCGGCTTTTAATTTCAACACCCGTCGGAGCCTCAGTCTCAATGCCCCCCCGAATCTTAATCCCGACCACTTCCCGAACCTTGATTCGGTCCCGGATCCTAACCCCAACCCCCGTTGGGACCCTAACCTCAGCCGCGTCCCATACCTTGATCCGACCCCGACCGTAGTCTCAACCCCCACCTTAATCCCGACCACTCCCCGAACCTCAATTCAATCCCTGATCCTAACCCCAACCCCCACCGGAACCCTAACCCCTGCTGCGTCCCAGACCGTGATCCGACCCCCGACGGTAGTCTTAACCCCCACCTTAATCCTGACCTCAATTCAGTCCCGGATCCTAACCCCAACCCCCACCGGAACCCTAACCCCGGCCACGTTCCAAACATTGATCCGAGCCCCTGTCGTAGTCTCAACCCCCACCTTAATCCCGACCACTCCCCGAACCTCAATTCAGTCCCGGATCCTAACCCCAACCCCCATCGGAACCCTAACCTCGACCGTAGTCCCGACCCCCGCAACGGTTCCGACCCGAATCTCGGCTTCAGCTTCTAATTTGTACTTTATTATTGCCGGCCTGACCGTAGGAATAGTGTTGCTTTTGTGTCTGTTTTACAGCTATAGGCTCTGTGTGGCGGGACGGCGGCAGAGAAGCGCAGCTGCTACGCAGGGGCCCTCTGAGACCGAACTAATGTCACTCGGGCGGTTGGAAAGTGGCGAAAGCACAATAACAATGTCTCACACTGCACTGTAAATATAAACATTGCTTTTATGATCATAGGTCTTATATGTATATAAATATAAATATAAATAAAGGAACTATATGTACAATGTGTGAGTACTGATATACACTGAAGCTCTTAGCATGTGCTGCGTATACGGTTTTAACAGGGCTGTACATTTTAGCGTGTTTCAAATGGGTCTTATTTGAATGCATAGGCACGCTGAAATGAACAACATAGAATTATTAGTATTTTGCATTAATATTACGAATTGTTTCAGGGACGTATGTTTACTTTTGTGTAAACATTATGTCGGGTAATATATTATAAGCTATTGGGTTTTCCTGTCAAACACACGAGTGTTTATCGGAACATAATCACTTAGAGCAGAGGTCATTTAAAGGGAAAGTCCGTTCTGCGCATCGGTTCTGCGCATAACAATGTGAAAATTGCCCAAATTTCGAATGTTTCGAATTTTTCTGAACATAAACTTTATTTCATATTCATTTAGAAGCATAGCGAACCAAAATGGTGTTAGATATTCAAACAGTACATCATATTTTCAAAATACAGCAGTTCAAGATGTAAACAAACCGTTTGTTTACATTACGGACTTGACTTCCCCTTTAAACATAGATACCGTTTCCGCGCTGTAAGTTTCACGTCTCCTTTACAATAAAACATTTTGTACGCAAGCTATTTTTATACATTCGTCATTTCAGGGATGTCATTATACTGCGATTTCCACTTGAGTATGGAATTACGAAAGTTTGTTCGTAGAGTTTGTTCGTTAACTTTTGTCGTTTGAAAACAATGTTTGTGACGTCATTCTATAATGTTACCAGGCGAGCACACAATGTTGTCAAGTAAAAACCGTTAAAAACTGTCAATCATTACAAAACGAAATAAAGTTTATATTTATAGTCGTGAACTTGGCAGTATTTTACTTAACAACATTGTCAGCTCGCCTAGCAACATTATAGAATAACGTCTCAAACATTGTTTTCAAACGACAAAACTTAACGAACAAACTTTCGCGATTTCATGCTCAATTGGAAATCGCAGTAAATTAACACAACATGAAGGCCCTGCGGGAAACACCCTAAATTAAATTGTTGCTGATAACAGAACAAGGATAGCAGCAAAATATTGCTGTTTACTATAGAAAGACGTTTAAAGTGAACTGTCTTGTGAATAGTTTATTTCCTCGTCGAGGGAATCAGAGGACAGGGAATCGATTGAGAAGTGGCGACGAGCATTGTTCAGTACGAAAAGTTCCCTATAAACTGAAGGGCGCCTTCTCCTCCGAATGATGTAAAAACAGGCGATGCCGAGTGCTGTAGCGCCAGCTGGTAGCAGAATTGATAACACTAGTAGAAAGGATATGGTTCTTACCGGTTCCGATCAGAGAAGGGGTCGGGACGCTTGCAGTAGAATGGGTCGGGACGCTTGCAGTGATGGTTTTCACCAGGGAGGTTCGAGGTGCTGTTGGACTTGTAAACACGAAGATGGATTTCCGATGTGTTGACGATCTAATGGCCGGTGCTGTGGACTTGTCTGTAGTAGGGGGACAGTCACTTGCAATGTCTACCATTACACGTAACAGTCTGGTACAGTCGAGTGGGTTGTATCGTAGATCTATATGGTTAATATTTGGGAAGTCGGACATAATGGCTGAAAGATTTATAAAGGATATATTGTTCCTTTTCAAGTCGAGGACTTCGACCCAATTCTGTTTTCCATAGCTGGGAAAGGTTGAAATGCCCAGTCTCGAGCAGTCCAAGAGATGGGAAATTTTGAACACAGTACAATGAATCGCGAACGATGACCTTACGACCACGAACAGCACAAGGACGACCATTTTGGACAACATTTTAACAATATACGACCTTGTTCTGTATTTTCCCGCGAAAACGTTTATTCACATGTGACTTTAAATGTTATATAATGAAATGTAGCTAGAAAACATAGAATTAGTGCGTCGAGCTAATTGTAGCTTAAGGTAGAACTTTTAGATAGGATTTAATATGCTGTATATAGATGAATTTGTTGTATATAAATAAATGGTTTCACATGTTGTATTCATTTGTTGTTTTATTGCGATGGAAGTGATACTAGATGAACTGCAAACACAGGGCGTTGATATTGATATGAGAACATTATATCATACTATTAGTAATTTGCTTGAGGACCACGAAGCAACGTACAATCAAATGGCTGTGTATGTTAATCCTAATGAAATGCAGGTTGTTTCTAACACGATCAACGTGATAATTTTGGCCGTGCTATGGCCTATTTGGCTTTAGTTTATTTGATACACAAATCCGAATATACTACACGTAGGGCCGTCCGTTTAGTCGCGGCCCCACTGAGAAGCCTTGACCTTAGTGCATATCGAATTGAAGAAGCAGAAGAGAATTTTTTTCGTAGAATGATTTCTCGGATCGGGTTATAAAACGAACGAACACGTCAAATTATGACACAGTACGTGTTGTGCACGTGAACACGATGGACGTGAGATTTAAAACACCAGCAAATTTTTTTATATGTGGGCAAAGTCAAAGCGGGAAATCCTATTTGGTTCGTTCCATGTTACGGCATGCAAAGGAACTATTTATTCCCGTGCCAACCAAAATAATATACTGTTACGGCATATATCAGAAAGAATTTGAAGGAATGCTGCAGTCCGTGCCCAATTTAACTCTGATAGAAGGATTTCCCGATAATTTATGCGAGATGACGCGCGGACATGATAACTCATTAGTCGTGCTAGACGATTTAATGTTACAATGTTCCAACGACCCACGTGTCTCGGACCTATTTACACGTGATTCCCATCACCTTGGCATGTCCGTGCTGTACCTTACTCAGAATTTGTTCCCGCCAGGCGAACGTTCTCGAACGATTAGTTTGAATAGTCACGTTCTCATCGTGTTTAGAAATCCACGTGACTCTCTTGGTGTTTCCACACTTGCCAGGCAGATGTTTCCTAAACATACCGGATACCTTTTGGATGCATTTCACGATGCGACGGGCAAGCCCTACGGATATTTGGTAATCGACTGTCATCAGTTGACGCCGGAAAATATGCGTCTGAGGACCAACATTTTACCCGAAGAGAGACAGATTGTTTATGTGAAACGTGTTTAAACTACGTGTGTTATGGAAAGTCATCATTTGCAAGATGTCAAAGCGCATGAAAGGAAGTCTTCCTTATCTTCAAGTCATTGTCAAATCTAAACCTAAATTGCGAAAATTACTCATCGATAACGTTCCAGCGAATGTCATCACAGCTATTTGTGAGTGTTCCTTGAATTTACTTAAAGGTGTCATTCCGGTAACACCTCGGCAAAAGCGACGTTTAGCACGTTACAAGACACATCTCCGTGATTTAGCCAATAAGAAAGTGTCAAGAAAACGGAAGAAGTTGTACCTTAATCAGAAAGGTGGAAATTTATTGTCAGCTCTCGTACCACCAGTGTTGAGTGTACTCGGAAGTTTGTTAGTATGAAGTATGCGAAACGCATGGTATTGGTCCCGGAGGACGTCGGCTTAATCGTTATGAGCAGAAACAAAAGATTGAGACCTCCCCAATTACATCCAGCATGATGCATCAGGATACGGCGATGTCAGAGATTCTTCAGAGTACAGGCATGTCCGATGTCGAAAAACAGAAATTGTACAATGCGAACATGGAAAGTTATCTGAGTTTGAAGCGACAGAAGGACGATCAAATACCTACAGTCCGCATAGCACCGGATACGGAACAGAAGTCCAGAGGGAAAGCGCCTTTATCTGACGTGGACGTGATCGGACATTTACCTGTAACCCTACGCCCGAAAGCGGCAACTCTTTTGAGACGTTTGAAAGCAAGACCCGACGTTATTTCCTGGGACGACTCTGGTCAAGTTAAAGTGGACGGTAAGGAGATTCCTGATTCGAATATATCAGATTTGGTGAGTGATGCCATGCGGGCACGTAAGAATTTTAATCCCAAGGGAGCGCAGGAATTCTTTCGCGGGCTGTCAAAGATTAATGTACCCAAAGATATTGCAAGAAACACGGAAAGATGGGATCAGGTTCAAATGGGCAGTCCTCCTGGCGCGGAAGAGGCTGTTTTTAAGACACCGCAACCGAGACCACCACCACCAACATCACCACGTGCAAGTCCCGCGAAATATCTCCGTGGTTTACTCAGAAGACAGGCGGCGAAACCAAAACAATGGCTTCCTTATTAAAAAATGTTGTAACAGTTTGCATGTACTAATTTGCTTGTTGCTAGGGAACACACCACAAAACTTCTTGCTTGTTACGGGATCTTGTTTCAAGGCATGGGTTATCTGGGCAGTGTTCATCCAGAATAATCGTAGACAACGTTTCTTTCGGAATCAATGTGCACGGTATTCTCAAACTCTGCGTAGCATACGAGACTCACAGCATTTGCAGGCGCTGCGGAAAACTGGATATCAATGGCCAAATTCCCTTTCTGCACAGCGTTAAAATGAGGAGAGGCTCCACACATGTCCGGTGTTAAATCAAAGGCGTACACGGCGTAACCTTCTAGAAATTCTTCTCGGGATATATCGTTTTCTGTGTTGTGATACATTTTTCCCGTACCAGAGAACAGTGTGGTGAATGCTTCGATGTATTTAGGTGCTGCGCCATAGGAAAGCTGCAAGGGTTTAAAAGGCATTTCTTCTCCGTTGACGGTTATTCCAATGGAGGACACGCTGAAATGCTGGAAGTTGTACGGATTCTTTTTTAAGACACCATTGAACGCGTTGCTTTCGACCACACCAAAGACAAATGTTTTTGGCACCAGTTCATTGAAAAGGTTATCCTTCCTTAGGGAGGGATTTCCAGCGGGAACGATGAAGCTCTTGCATTCGACGCGACGGATAGGATAGATGGCAGGTCCCTTTTTCAGAGCTATTTCATGAGCCACGGAAATGCCTGGATTGACTTTCACTTTACGTATCTTGAGATAAGCATCAGTGAGTTTCACGCGGAAATCAGTATCGTCTTCGGAGGCCATCGAACAGAACTCGTCGCTGCTTCGATTTAAAATAACTTTTAGATCTACCTAACTCAACAGGAGACGTTCGGACATGAATATGTCGCTGAATATGGGGCCATTCATTTCAACAGTTCCACTTGCTTTGCTGAAAACGTATCTTGCTCTGAGACCAGCGTTGCCATTACCACCTGCCACCGTAGGATCCGCGACATCGATTTTTCCTGCAGTATCTTTGTAATACAACGCAGCAGTGAGCTGTGAATCTTTTGCAGAGGGACCGTAATTCAGAAGGGTTTTCAAGTAAGCACGGTACGCATAGGTTCCGGTAGCCTGAGTGACTTGTTTCCCTTTCAAAAAGACATCCACCTGTTTGAACAGGCTGTGGAGGACATTGTTTACCACTCCAACCTTAAACGGATTAGAAGGAAATTAATATTTGAAAACGGTGTATTCAATATGAAAAACACCATACCTTTTCGGCTGCTCCGAGATTCGTGCCATCGGGTTTTGTCACTTTTGCTCTCACCACAAGAATCGTTCTAGCAAGGTCCACATAATCTTCAGTGCCCGGAGACAGGAACGTAATGACACCGCCATCGGCTACACTGGAAACGGGTTGATGATCTACCCAGTGTCCTTTTTCTAAACTGATTTGCGTTGGGGGCACAGAGAATAGATCGAGTTCGCTTTTTGTGCATTCTTGCGATTTGGAATGTACGAGATTCATGATTTTAACCAAATATGTCCGGAGCTGTTTTCCGTCTCTTGGTCTGTCTGCGTCGCAATTTTCCCTTTCGTAAACGGTCGTTACCATCCGGAACAGGCGTCACCATCCCGAGTCTTATAGAATTCTAGGTAAGCAGAGCAAAATTCCTCGTTGTCCCATGCTGTCCTGCATGTCACATTTTTGCTCACGTGCAGTGGTTTTTAGCGGGAAAATATTTCTATAAAACTATTAATAAAAGAGTGTAAACGATGGCAAATCCTTTAGAAAAACAATCAGTGAGGAAACCAACAGGATGGAATACTTTTTATCAACAAGTTGCGGTGAGTTGATAGAAATCATTTTTGTACGAAATACCATACCGGATTTGTTGATGCCATCTTGATTTGTCAGGACAACAATTCGTTTTAAAACGATAGAGTATTCAAATTTAAAAATAGCGTTATAAAACATAATTTTCAGAGAAGTTCCGAAGTTCACAAGGTCATATAAATGAATACTCGTATATTTATTTGAATAGTTTTAATTTTGTTTCACTTTTCACAGCCTGGAATTATTCAAAAACTTGGGCCCGAGGCAAACATTGGCAAAGTGTCCACTGTGGCATCCAAAATGTGGAGGCAAATCGGTGAAAGAAGGAAGGTAAATATTCAATATTCATAGTATATTGTACTATATTAGAAGTATATATTTATTTAAAGTATTATGCTTTGCCTTATTATTTTTTTTATATGTTTCTCGCCCAGAAAATCACTAAAATCACTGAATATTTTGAGTAAAAATATTTATATAATTATAAACAATTATACCAGGAGTGGTATGATTGTTTTACTATAGACATTCACTCAGTTCAATGAAAAAAGACCTTTTTATCATTAAAATAGACGATGTGCTACCCACCCCCCTCCCCATGGATTGACATCAGTAGACATTAATGCACATCAATACACCTCACTAGACATAACTTGACATCAGTAGGCATAAATAGACATAACTGTTTACAACCTATGTTAGTCTAGCAATTTCTAATGATGTACAGGCTTCTCCCTAGAAATATTTTGAAATCTAGTGTTTCTGAAACATATTTGCTTAACAGGAGTGGAAAATGAAGGCACAACAGACAAGAGAGGACCTTGATACAGAGATGGTGCAAGAAAAGCTTGACTGTGAGAAATGTGGCAAGATTTTCACCAGAAGCAAGGACCTGAAGTTCCATATCAAAGGTTGTCAACAATGTGTCTGTGAGAAATGTGGTCAAAAGTTTACCCATGCATTGCAGTTAAAAAGGCATAATTTGAAAAAGCACTCGAAGACTTTTTCATGTAAAACATGTGGCAAATCATTTGGTTACAAACACCATCTGGATAGACATAGCCGTGTTCACGATACTAGTGTTTTCACTTGTAAAATATGCCACACTAAGGTCAAAACAAGAAGCAATTTTATTAGGCATATGACTCGGCAACATGATGGGTTAGATCCTAAAAATTACTGAAATCAGAGTATTTATTAAAAAACGTCTCAATATCGATTATTGCTGTTCTTCTTTATATAACTTTATAAATGCTGTAGATAGACTGACCTTCAGTTAAGTACAGTACTTGCATAGTATGTTTATGTAGATACCACAACTTGGCCGTCACTTAGGGAGCCAGCTTGATAAACTTAGAGTTCCCGACTCCCACCACAGTTTATAGACTAAGAACTGTGTTGGCACAGAGCGGAAAAATTTTGCGTCTCTAAATCATCGGAAATGGCATTTTCAAAGTCTTCTATACGTCTTTTGTTTGGCCCTTTCATTAATTCGTTCATTATGATTTGTGAGTCTATGATATCCGCGAGTCAGGATGGATTATTACGAGAAATGTTATCAAAATATCGATTACAGATATTTGATTATATGTATATATGATTTCAAATACTTCTAGTTTCGAAATCAAATTGTTGTTTTTTTTGTGGGGGCCAAAATTATCCCCCCCCCCTCTTATACTAAAACACTTGGTCGAGGGCCTGTTGCCCCACTAACTTGTCCAACAACTCAAATCTATAGGGTCTGGGTAATGCAATCCACTGCCTGGGAAATGTTTAAAATCTAATAAGGTATTTATTAAACATAAAAGACAGGACATAAGATTCACAAAGCAAATTTCAGTTACTAGAATATCAAACCTCCCTTCTAAATTCCATGTTTTGCTTATATTTTAGAGAAAAGGGACTTTGACTGGGGGGGCCAAAATGGTTGAGTGGGGGGGGCACCATGGGGGCTGGGGGGGGGGCTTTGACCCCCCCCCAGTTATATAGTTAAAGAATGCCTTGGTTTTCCAGGTCAGCAGTCAGTTTGTCAAACAATCCAACCACATTGTATTCCTTCACTCTTCTTAATAGTATATCTTTCAACACCAGAAACTGAGCTTCTACGAAGTTGTTAGTTTGATTTCCTCGGACACGCATACTAGATCGGAAGCAAAGGGCAAAGTCCTTCTTGATCACATAAAGGTTTCTGTAGTACTGTAAAAGGTTGGGATACTTGCTACATGCATCATCACTCAAAAGATCTTCATAACAATCATCAAAACTCTCTTCAGTCGTTGCATACAAAGCCTTTTTGAAAAGGCTGAAGACTTCAGGTCGATCATGCTGGCTGACAAGGTGGTCTTTTTCAACAATCCACCTCCACACTTGCTGCAAAACATGGAAAATGCATAACAGGAGTGTTGCAGTTGGCCATACACTCTTCAAGGCATTACGTTCTTCCAGGCAGTTGTCTGTAAGAATAACCTCAGGACCTGTAGTGGGACCACGACCATTAAAAGCATACTCAGGAAGGCAATCACTTAACATCTGAAACGCTTGCTTCACCGTGCTTTCTTTTTCGTCGCTTGTTATGACAAGGCCACAGGGTAGTGCACCAGATACATTATGTGTACACAACAAGAAAACTTTCAGGTTATGCTCATCTGTATTTGAGGTGGCATCAACAAATACAAGCTCGCCACACTGAGGCACTTCCTTGTGAACTCGCTTCATTAAAGGTGTGACAACACTGATAATAAGGGGCATTTCATCACCACAGTACACCTGATACTTTAGTGATGCATCTAGAAAAATATTAATATGACATTCTTATCATGTTTTAATAAGCTCTACACATTTTATACTTTAAGCATAGATGGACTTTCTGGGGACGCGGGGGATATGCATACTCCCCCAGAAATTACTTGCACCCCCACCCCACCCCCATGAAAGAAATTTGCATCTCCCAAGATAATTATGCAGCTTGCTGATTGTAATTGTATGAATGAAAGTAATGAAAATTTGTTATTATTAGATAGTCTGCAGTTTGTTAGATAAGTATGCTTTCAATGAAGTATAACTGTAGAAAATATGGATTGATTTGCCTCATTTCGTCTAATTTCGCAAATTAAAAGCTAGGCTAAGGAGCTTCAATACTCGATAGTCAATACATTTTTCTGTACCTTCAACTTGCACCCCCCTGAAATTTTGCACATGAAATGGACATGACAATGACAAATTAACCTTTACAAGATAATTTAAAAGCAAGGATGAATTTTGAGATTTTGCTGAAAAATCTCAAAATTCATCCTTGCTTTTAAATTATCTTGTAAAGGTTAATTTGTCATTGTCATGCATTGCACACTGCGATTTGTTGGGCTGATTTTAGATTTTTCCAAATGCTACTGGAAAATATTTTCAGTTAATCATTTCATGACTATATTTGCCAGATATCATGAATGTGCACCTGAAATCAGCTTGACAAATTGCAACATGTAAACATAGCTTTATAAGTTAGCACATACCTGGATTGTTTTGCTGATATTCCTCCATTTTCTCTTCCAGCCTTTGAAACATCTCTCCATTCTTGCCACCAAACTCATCCTTTGTGTACTGACTATATAGGTAGTTGAAATCCCTTCTTCTAGGTGTGACAGATCTATCTGCTTTCATAATATGATAGGTTATCTCATCGTTGCAGGATTTTTATAGATTTTTAAGAAAGATCTGTCTGGCCATGGATGGTGTATTTCCATCTTCATACAATTTCCTTACTTTTTCAATAGTGCAGGATGAAATTTTTTTAAAGTTCGAAGCCTCAAGATTCACTGTGTTGTGATTATGTGCCCACTCAATGTCTACAAAACAAATGCCATTTGTATTTATCTTTATAATCAACTGGAAAGGACAGTTCGTATTTTTCACTCTGGCTGCTGGATTTGTCTGTAGTTTTCTCTGAGGATCTTTGTTTGGGCTCCATCGTCTAGTGTTGTGTTGACACCGGTAGTAAGTCTGGATAAGATATCCTGTTGTTGGCTTTTTCTTTGTTTTTACTTTCAGAGTGATGGAATTGATGGTTGAAATTCGATTAACCAGGGATGAACATTCTCGGTAGTTATGTCTTCAGTTTGGAAGGACGATTTCTGTTCATTAATAACTGAAAGATTGAACTTATAACAGTAATCCTCTGGCAACTTCTCTAGAAGATTAGCTTCTATGCGTTCTTTTTCAACATTTAACAATGGAATACTCTGAGAATCGATATCACATTCGCTAATAGCAGAATTTATTAACTCGTCAAAACCAGCAAGCATGTCCGCCATATTTAACATGCAAGGGCAACAGACAAAGAAGCGGGACAGCATGGGACAACGAGGAATTTTGCTCTGCTTACCCAGAATTCTATAAGACTCGGGATGGTAACGCCTGTTCCGGATGGTAACGACCGTTTACGAAAGGGAAAATTGCGTCTGCGTCTGGCTGCAGATGCCGATGCCTTTCTCTTTTTAACTGTTTTCCGTTTCTTGCCCTGACTGCGGCTGACTGTTGATGTCTTTCTCTTTTCAGCTGTTCGCTTTACACTTCTTGAACGCTTTACACTTCTTGAGCGCTTCCGTTTTCCGCTCCCCGTTTGACTCCTTAGTGTATCGATAGCTTTTCTTTTTGCAATGTTGGCGGCCTGTATGGTTCGTGCTTTTGCTGCTGATTTCACGTTTCTACCTGCCAGGACATCGCCCACAAAGTCTGTCCCACTTTTCAGGGCAATGTTTCCAAGAGCTTTCGCTCCACTTTTAATCAGAGGCATGGCTTTTCTTGCAAGAGTACGGAACAGTCCTCCCAGCACGTACCCCACCTGCCAGGGGCTGCCTCTGAACACTGGCATGCCACGCCCTTGCTGTTGATCCAGGTAATAACGTACGTTAGGATTATTCATTCTCTCAGGTAAAATAAGTATGCTGTCTGAAATGTAGTGTCTCTATGACATTCCCACGTTCGAATGGCACGGGATCGCCCGTGTCGTTCCTTAAAAGAATTTTCACGTCTCCAAAGGATTTCGTTTGGACAGGCACGTATTGTATGTTGGTAAACGTGTTCGTAACGAAATCACCATACTTTCCTTCGACGGGAATGCTTCGAAGTAATTGCGCACTCGTATCTCCAACGATCTGCGGTTGAACGATATTGCAGTATGTGTAGATCGTCGAAAAGATATTTAAATCTACTACGTGAGGACTTTCGCCCGTTTTGTCAATTTTCACCTCTTTTCCACCGAATCCCAGGATAAGGGACAATTTGTTTGGTAACCCGAGTTTGCATTTGGGTTTCAAGTGAACGGTCACTTTTCCCGTTAAGGCACCGTACGTTAGATGTATGTCAGTATTATTACCGATCTCTTGTTTCAGAGCATCATTTATACCTTTAGTGAACTCTTCCATAGTTCTATAGTGTCCGTACTTTATGGTCGCAGATGATATCCATCTATCGGTAGGACCCAAATAATAGAAGTGAGTATCCGCATTAATATCCCGCAGGGTATACCATGTGTGGGGATAGGAAATAGAGTACAGTCCGACTTCCCAATTGCCATCCAAATCAATGGGTTGCGGTAATTTTACACGATATTCGGTTGTTTTGTTATCGGGGAAAACGTCCAGGGACGCATTGCTCGGAAGCGTGAGGTAAAAGTGTGTTCCGCTCATTATGAATTTCCGATGAGAATAACAAACAAACAGCACGTTCAACGGTTTAAATCTTATTTATTTCAGAAGCGGGTACCCACGAGTTAAATTTATTGGGGTACCCTAACCATTTTACAAGATAATGTACATTATTGCCACGTCCACGTTTTTTTAGGATCTTTTCAATTTCGTAGACGTCATCTTCCTTAATGATCTTTTGCAATTCTTTCTCGTAAAATGTTCCTTTAAGTTCTTCACCGTCCAGATCCTTTAGTTTGTACACAGGAGGATCTCGTGGTATTTGTTTGCTTATAGCGAAGATCTCTTTGGAGAAATTCGGCAAGTATCCTTTTTCAAATGTTCGTTTCATCTTGCTAATTCTCACTTGATCGCTAATCCTAAACTTGTACTTTTCATTTTTCGCTACGCTATGCTCATCATACAGGGTGTGCCACACTTCCTTCTCGTTCCCAGCAGTAACGTCCACGGGTCTTGTCCTGATGCTACGGTGAACACTGTGATTGTAAGAATAGACCAGATTGGGTAAAATGTCTACGTATCGCATGGTTTTCTTAGCCGTAAAATAACGCCACATTTTGGTCTTTAATTAAAGTACGAATCAGACGTTCCACGATGGAAGCTTTCGTTTCATTGTACGTATTGTACAGTTCGATGTCTTCTTCTTTCATCAATGTTCGGAAATGTTTGTTTAGAAATTCTGTTCCTTGATCGGTCATGATCTTTTCGGGTCTGCGTCCAGACGTTAAAATGACCTTGAAAGCTTCGACCAGTGTAGGACCTGTCTTGTTTTTCAATGGGACTACCCATGCATACTTGGAAAAGACATCAATGCAGACAAGTAAATAAGGATAACCATCCTTAAACTTCTGCATGGACTGCATGTCCGCCAAATCCATTTGCCATTGTTGATCAATACCCCCCACAATGACACGGTTCCGTTTAAAGTGGCGGCGCATGGGTTTGTGCAATCTGTATCTGTCCTGTTTCATTAACCATTCCTTGATTTCCTTTCGACTTATTTTAAACTTTCGCTCATCTTTAACATCTTGGAACAAACGATCCACTCCGCCAAATCCTCTCGACCTTTTCGGATCGGAATAAACGCTGGATAAGTAGTCGTCCATGTTCACACGTGAAATGACGGAATCCTTTCATTCTTCAACGTTTTGAATATTACCCTCCCGAAGCTTCGTACTTTCGATGGGGTTGTAATTCTTGACGGTTTTACTACAGTATCCCACTTGTACATGCCCCTCGAGATTAAGATCATTTCTCCCTGCGCTTATACCGATTCTAAACATTTTCTGTTTATTATGATCTTTATTGACCTTCGGATTTTTACTAGCAGAGTGTCCCATGACGTACACTCTAATATGAAAAGGTTCCTAAGGTACATGCGTGTATAAATGTTTTTTTCCACTGGAAGGAACATTCATTGCTCTCGATCAGGCAAAGAGTAAACATGTCTAAACCTATCGATATCGATAATAGGGAACTTATTTTCTATTACCGCCAGAAACGTATCGTCGAAAAACTTCTAAAAGTTTCCGCGGAAGAAATCGCTCCTATCATCTCCCAGCTCGTTGCTGAAAATTGTAACGGTTGCATGACAGAGCATCCGTCCCAGACGCATCATCAGTGTCTTACGATGGAAAGAGACGAACGGTTATGTCTATACTTTGATCATGCTCTGGAAAAGGCTTCGGAAACAAAAGTGATGGAGGCTTCTACTGAAAGTTTGAGTGATATGAAAGTACATGTTTTCGAATTGATTGAGTATACGGCGGACGATTGGAAAACTATCTTTTGCGCGAAACACAGGCGAGCATTGAAACACGTGATCTTTCAGTTATTGTAACTTATTATTATTCCTTATATATTATTAAACCTATAAAGAATACTGGCTCTTTAGTTCCCTAATCATTTGAAGCAAACATGACTTGGAGGAACATTGTCACTCACTGGCTCTCGGACAAAATTATTTCACAAGAGGGAAAATTGGCAACTCTGGATTTGATGAAACTTTTGATAGAGAAAAATATAATACCAGCAACACTTATTGACAATGCGACGCTGCACTCCATTATGTTGACACAAATCATACTGGAAACACTAACGGGTATAACGGTACCTCGGGCCCCCCAGGGGAACACCTTTACCTACCAGATGAACGCTAGAGAAATGATGATGTGGGACATGGCTAGAAAAAACGAGAAGCAGGTCGATGCACTGGAGAAGTAAACGGGGGGTGAATCTGGATCATTACCACAAACTGAACATTAAAAATTAACACAGAGATCAAACCATCTTTGTAAAAATATTTATTTCAATTGTTATTAGTACCCATAAGGTAATGTTTTGTAATCATCCATAATTACACGTTTATTATAAACTATTCTGTAGTCCTTTTTCATGCCCTTCGTTTCAATTTCTTTGGTTCGGGTATTTCTTGTAATTCTAAACGGAATGTCCACAGACACTTGCCCCGTCACTTGACATTGAGCATGTAAATACACCAATCCACGAATCACCTCGAAGTTCACCTTTTGCCTCGCCGTGCAGTCTAGAGTGATTCCACGCACTTTGGTCTCAACTTTACCACTATTCGTACGGTAGCAATAATTATTCGGACCGCCTGACGCAAACACAGTAATGTATTCGCCTCCTAATTCATCGGTTAATTCGCCGAGATGGTTGCCCAAGGGAGGTTCGGGTTCGTTGAGTTTGCTGATCAAAATCACTGAGTCGGTATCGTAATACATCACTCTCTCTTGCAACATGTCCAGCACGCCGTAAAGCTTGAGACGGGCATAGGCGGTGGTGAAAGCAGCAATGACCACATTGGTTTTCGCATCGGGTTTGATAAAATTGTCCGTATACTCGTATCGGATTTCGATGATGTCGTCACTCACTAAATCGGCATCAAGCACGTTGATCTCATCAGAAGTGAGGTAGTCATAGAATACTTGTGGATCTTTTATCTGCTCGGTTTTAACCATGTTGGGTCGTTGTGCAAATTTACCTAAACGGAGAAACTGTTAAGTATCATGTAGCGAAAATATATCGATGAAAGCATAGTACTCACCCCAGAACGAATTCAACATCAGTTTAGCCAGAGCACGTAATCCAGGATTGTATTCGATCTTGTGGGGGTCTAAATGGATTCCCGACTTTTCAAGGTACTCGCCCACGTAGTGCTGCCTCTGCTTTTCGGTGACACTATCTTTCGGGTACCCACTCGCCTCCTGTTTAATTTTCAGGAATGTGTCAATATAGTCCTTGAACAGGTCATCCGAGGTTTCGGGAAAGTGCCACACTTCATGAATCTGTACGATTTGATAACCTTTCTCCAGCGCTTTCTCCAGCTCCACGCTACACCATGTACCCTGAATGGCTCTTTCACGGTCGGCATGGCCGCAGGGAGTCTGGCTACAGGCATCGGCACAGGTCCTGCAAAGCGCAAACATCAACTTGCCCTGGGTGCGATAAGGAAGAACAGGGTGGAACAAACCTCGAGGTGGAAGCACTGTGCATTTGACCAGACCAAAATAGGTGGAAATGCCGTCAAAGTTCTCGATGATGATGCGCGGATGTCCCACAACCGTTCGCGTAATTTTATTGCACCAGGGATAAAGGCTTGTAAAATCCACATATCTAGAATGACGTAAGACATGACGTCATACATGACGTAGTAAAACATGACGTCATACATAACCTAAAAACATAATGTCAGAAATTTTTTCTCCCTACCTTATTTTCTCATCATCATTACATTCATGGTAAAGTCTCGACGCGTTGGTTCGTCCTCCGTATAGGCCATCACGAGGTTCCGAGGGATCGACTCCATCATACTGATCAAAGTAATATTTCATGTCTTCATTATCTGCCAATTCCCGATTGATTCTACATTCCCAAACTTCTACCACGTTGTAGCCCTGATTTTTCAAATACTGTATCTTTTCCACGGTTTTTTGATGAAGATCGTGCATGGTTTTACCTTTGACAGGGTTCATTGTATCACGAGCGTAACAGTTTATACATCCTGTAAGAAATAAACAAAAATACTATTCTAAAATACTATTCTAAGGGGGCGTTTATACGAGGGAGGTGTTTATTCAAACACTTACCATGCCAGAAACATCCATGGACTTCAGAGGCCGTGCGGGTTTCTTCATGATAACCGTCCAGCAAATACGGACCAACACGTTTCTCTCCGCCGTTGCGAGCA